CTGTTCTGTTGGGGTAATTGGTAGGGGTTTCAGTACTAATCTTTTCCTGGCTGTTGGTTGTATGACTCCCCATGGTGTGCTTACTTTCTACAGCCCTCATCCATTCGCCAAAATTCCCCTCTTTCAGCGTGCCCGCTTCAATATCGTGCAGTCTATGAGAGCAATTCTTGTCCAGATGCCCTAACCTCCCACAATAATAGCAGAGGCTGACTAGCTTCTCATAATGAAAGGTTACCATGATCTGCTGGTCACGGAGCTTTATGTTGACACAACGTGGTAATGGCTCATTCACATTCACTGTGACCAACAATCTGAGGTAGCTTCCTATTACTCCTCCTGCTTTGACTACAGCCACATTCTTGGTTTTTTTGAAAATTCTCCCCACCTTCATACCTACCTCTGTACTGAGCCAATGGAGAGGTATATTTTTTGCCTGCACCCAAATGTTCAGAGTGGAGAACGCAAGGGCTTGAGCTCGTTAACCCTTCTTCCCATTCACATAAGATAAGATATTGATTATCAAAAATCCAGTTAACTCCTCCTAGCACTTTTTCCTTATCCTTACAGCACCCAAAGAGAAAGTGAAAAAGGTTGGTACGGAGTTCTCGAACCTCCACCGGATATTGGATTTGCCAGATTGAGTTGACTGTTCTCCTTAATCCCACGAGACTGGCTTTCCTTTCCCCTATAATTTTCCCGAACAGGCTTCGAGAACACTCCTCTGCACTCGCTTTGATGTCGTCATCTCCCAACTCTATAATATTGCTCTCCGATGATGAAAGATTGATTTTTTTGAGTTTGTCCTCTAGATCCTCCGTGTTACTTAAGGAGTTAGAGGACTCCTTGATCAGTTGGGCCATCAATCGAAAAGAGAACAACCTTCTAAGTCCTAATACAATGGTTTGAATATAAGCCACCAATAAGAAAATTACTTGAGCAAGGATATATAAGTGGTGAAGTTCTGCTATGAAAAAGAGTAACTGAGATTAACAGGGATGTAAACTGGTAGGAATGGTAAATCTCTATTGAAAAGAAATGGAGCTCTCAATCGAGAGAGAGAAACCCTCAAAGAAGGGAATTCGATATATTTAACACTTTTTTAATTATGCAAATTTTAGTATGAAATTAATAATTCTAAATTTATAAAAAAGTTATTCTTTTTATATAATTATAGATGTTAATTAACTGTAATAATTAAATACCTAGTTGCTCAATCCAAAATCCTATTCCCCTCAAGAGAGAGAACAGGTATTTAGAATCGGATATCAACACCTACACACACTTGCGTGAACAACCTAACAACTTTATTATTATTATTATTATTATTATTATTATTATTATTATTATTATTATTATTATTATTATTATTATTATTGTACATAAAACAACTAACTTGAAAACGTTTGGGATTCAAACGATTGAAACCCTTAATCTAAACAGAACATCGGTGGGAATCAAACTGCCAAAGCTTAATTGGGGAATTCCATGGACGACGACATGTGTTTTCACAACGCGCTTGGTTCATCACTTGAGGTACCCTCTATTTTCTCTAATATGAGTTTATTTTTTTTATTTTTTTTGCTTATATGATGTGATATTGTCCCCATAGCTTAGTTTTGCTGCTTAGTTTTACTGGTTTTTTATTTATTATGTCTAGTTTTGTTAACAGTGAATTTTTTTTTTAACCATTTAGATTTGTATAACACAAATTTTAGCCACATTTTTAAAAAAACCTCTTTTTTAGCCATTTTGGCACTTAAAATGTCAAAAATACC